AAGGAGAGATACCAAAATACAAAAATATTTTTAAAATTTTTTCTTTTAAATTAGAGTTTGAAAGAGTTTTAAATTAGTTTTGAGTTGTGTAATGAGTTGAGTTTAAAAATAATTTTTTTAATTGAGTTTGAGAGTTTTTGAATTGTATGTTTGGTTATAATTTTGAAATTTTTGATTAAAATTATGATTCCAAAACTTAACCAAACATGGTTTAAAGTTTGGGCTGTCACTTAATAAATTAAAATTTTAATTTCACTTTTCAACTTCAAATTTTAAATTAACATTAATTCAACTTCCACTCATTTTCATTTTAAATAAATATTAACTTCCACCTTCCACCCATTTCCGGTTTTCTAATTGAATTTAATAAATTTTTTTAACATATATGTAATACCTTCACATTTGGCTTTTTTTTTCACTTAAATCAGTTTTTGGGATCTGCTTATTTTTTGACTTTTTTTAAAAATTTATTTTTGTCTTTAGTACAATTAATTTTTTTTTAAAAAAAACATCAAAAATGTTTAAACTTCTAAATTCCAATTCGACAAGAGAATCGGAAAATTATAAATTTTTTTAAAAATTTCAAAAAAAGTGCAAAAAGACCCCCCCAAAAAAAGAGTAAAAAATAGTGAATTTTTTTTTTTTTTGTTTATTTTGGCTTTTCAATTTTGTTGTAAATTTTTTCAAAAATATATATATTTTTCAAGATTTATTTGAGCAAAATGGACCCAGATAAAATTAAAAAAAAAGATTGACATTTATTTTTTTAAAAAAAAATAACTAAAGACAAAAAAAAAAAAAAAATAAAAAGAGAAAAAAAAAAAAAAAAGACTTTTAAGCAAGTTACCAGAAGGAAAATTTAAAACCTTGATTACACAATTATTATCATTAGTATTTATTAACTATCCATTAAGGCCAAGTTTGGGAAGACTAAAAAAGTGCACTTTTTGTCTTTTTGGACTAAAAATTGAGGTTGAAATATGGATGTTTGGGTTGCCTTTTGACTTTTATTGAAAAATGTGTAATAGACAAATATGTAAAAAATTGATTTGTAGAGAAAAATTTGAATTGGGGAGTTGTGCAGGCCGATAATTGTTGACTTTTGGTGTAATAGGTTTAACTTTTAGCTTTTTGAGTAGAGCTTATTTGACTTTTTGACTTATATTGGGACTTCCCTAACCTTAGCCTAAATCAGAGAGTTCGCCCTAATGATGGTCAGACCAATGGAACTTGAGCACAAATACCCACTACTCGTTCCTCTACCGAGTACTTTCATTGTCCTTTCTATTAATCTTGTAGGATTTATTTTTTGTTTTTGTATTTGTTTTGAACTTTATACGTGTACGTTGTGGTTTGATTAAAAATTTGAAAAGATGATTGTGAATAGAAAAATATATATATATAGTAATGGGATAATATATGTGTATATTTTATTGTATTTTATAACATATTTTTCATTTTTTTTTTTCAAATTCATTCTTAAATCTCCTAACTAAATGCATATTATATACTCTACAACATAATTGACTTTTTGCGCCTCTTCTTTTGAGACAGTCTGTTTAACAATAGCAAAAAAACATATTTATAACAGCTAAAATATATTTATGACGAGTCCAGATCCTCTGTCGTGCCTTCCTGGCGGCGTTCCCTGCCATGATTCAAAACGAACGTCATTTTCAGTTTTTTTTTTTTTTTTCCCCTTTTCTTCTCTTTCATTGCTTAAACCCTAACCCGGTGAGAGAAGCAGAGATGAAACGGAGCAAATAGGCGCAAGCATGGCAAGTCGACTACAACTAAGGCGGGCGACGAGGTCTTGCAATAATTCATTCTCACGTGAATATGCAGATTGCTAGCTATCTCAAGCAACAAAATCGATGGAAATTCAAAAACCCATTTTTGTTCTCCCACTCATTGAATCACATTGGTTTGTCAAACAACAAAATGACTGAATTTTCTCACCAAATCACCCATCCAAACAGACCTTTACAGTAAAGGCAACAAGGGTTCTTTCTCTGTGTGTGTGTGTGTGGTTTGTTGTGTTTCAGAGAGGAAGGAAAGAGAAATGTCAATCATTTTCTGTTGGAAGAAATCAAGAGGGAAAAAAAGCAATCTTTCTCCACAGACCAATGTCGAATTCTAATTTTTTTTAGGAAGTAAGTAGAAATCAGAGAGAGCATCTCTCTCTCTCTAAAACTAAAAAGAAGAGAAATCTCACTATGAAATCCTTGATTGAATCATACCCCAAGAAACAACATCCGCCAAGTATAAACACCACAAAGAAAAAGAAAGAAAAGAATCATTGAAAAATTTAGAAATTATACAAGTAATAACAACTGATTTCACAAGTGGGACATACCATATTTATCAGGAAGAACAAGGGAGATAATGGTAGCATCCTATTTGGTGAGCTTGAAGAGAGAAATCTCCTCTCTTCAGCTCATAAATCCCAACATCTAGCTTTGATTCTGAACAATTTGCAAAAACCCAAACAACAATAATTGTGAAGCATAACAATACAGAGATTTTCGACATTTTTTTTTCTTGCTTTCTTTCTTTTGGTTCAAAGGAAATGGTGTGAGATGAAAAACAATGAGTGAAGGGTTTGTACGGGTAATAGGTCATATATAAAGCAAGAAAAGTGAATCTGTGCTTTTTAATTTTGAAGCAGCTATGAAAAGTGAAGGTTTATCCAGAAAATTGATACAGCCATTTATACAATTTTTGCTTGAAATTCATTCATTCCTTTGGTACCCATTTGCCCAGATTCCATCCTCTTCACAGCAATTTAATCCCATCATGCAATTCCCCTTTGTAAACAACTCCAAATCCTGCTTTCGCTTCGCTCCGCCCGTTCCACTCCGATGCTTTCTGCTGCAACAACTACATACTCTCTCTCTAACTTTCTCTCTCTAACATCTCTGCAATTTGATGAAGCAATGAAGGAAGGGCATCCATCCTGCCGTCGCTGCCGCTGCCATCGCCTCGCCCGGCGTTGCCTTTTCCTCTCCGTGTTGTCCGTCGTCACGTCGTCATCTTTTCCTCTTCGTCTCTCATGGTTGAAGTTAAGTGAAAAAAGATGGGAGGAAAGCCAAAATGCAAAAAAAAAAAAAAAAAAGAGTTCAAAAACGTCGTCGTTTTGACTAGGGGTGTTCACGGGCAGTTCAAGCTTCGGGTTACCCTTAGCCCGTCAGCTGAACCTGACATGTTCGGTTGGAACATCAACTATCCGTTGTCGACCGAACTGCCATTCGAAATCGATCGAATGAAAAAGTCACAGCTTGGCGTCGGTTCGGTCGATTTCGAAAAAAGTAGCAGGAATGGAAAAAGAAAAATAATGAAAAAATAGATTGAGAATTCAAAACAGCAAATTAAGCTCAATGAATACAGATCAGTGAGAGAGTGACATAAATACAGAATGAGTAGCGAATTACAGATACACTTAGAAATTACAGATTATCGCCTCAGCCACTGTCTTCGCTCATCGCAACACCATCGCTCATAATCACCAACACTGTTCTTCACTAACCTTGTCTACTAAAGGGTGTGAGGAAAAAAAAAAAAAGGTTTCTAGGCAAGAAAGGGAGGAGAATAAGGGTTTCAAGAGATAAGGAAGAAATAAAAACAGATCTTAAAAAAAATAAAAATTACCATCATCAACGCTGCAATCTCAGCGTAGTCGATCTCAAGACAAGCCATCACCTCTTCCATGATCTCACACCGTTGCCACAGTCGCAGAGAGAGGGAAGGTGCAAATCGTGACGGAGAGAGTGAACTAGTTAAAGACAGAGAGAAGGGGTGAGTGAGAGAGAGAGACGAAAGGGTTGAGAGATAAGGAAGACAGAAATGAGTGAGATACATGAGAAAGTGGGATGAAAGAGAATAAGACAAAACATGGGAAAGTTTTTGTATTGGGAATGTAAAATTTGAAGAGAAAGAGATTTCAAATTATTGGAAAGGGAAGCCTTGGAAAGATGAAGGTCAGTTGATGTGACTATATCAACTACACTTAAAGGTATATACATAGAAAAGTCAAATATGTCTTGGAGAAATGAATTTATTTTACCTAGGCAGAGAACCAACGGATTATATATATATATAAATAAGTCGGTTGGTTCGGTTTATTCAAATATTTTTTTATTTAATCCAATGCTCGACCGAAAATTGAAAACTTTGAAAGAAAAGAACCGCAGCTGTCCGAAAATATGGTCGAAACTGCCCGCAGTATAATCGGGTCGGACGGTTTGGTTCGGATTTTTCGGATGAATTGGATTGATGAACACCCCTAGTTTTGGCCCACCGCAGGGATCACTGCAGGGAACAACAGAGGATCCAAACTCATTTATGACAGCCTTATGGGACGAAAATAATAATAAGTAGTGATAAAAGGTGCAATTTATTTGTGAGCTCAGGGTAGGGGTGTAATTTTGGGCCCGGCCTCGGCCCATGTCGGGCCTTGCGGGCTCTTGCCAAAAATTGGGCCGGGCTGGGCCAGAAAACTAGGCCCAGGTCCAAGCCCAGGCCCAGGGGTATTCGGGCTTTGGGCAGGCTAGTGTGCGGGGCCCCTGGGCCTGGACCTAAGCTCGGGCTTTGGGCGGGCTTGTGCGAGCCTAAACAATTTTTAAATTTTTTTTTTATTTTTATCACCAAAAATTATTATTTGTCATTAAAAATAACACTGGGCCTCTGGTGGCCCAAGCGGGATGAGCCTCGGGTCGGGCTTTTGGGTAGGTCTTCGAGCGGGCCGATAGATTGGGCCAAATGAACCAGGCTAAGCTTCAAAACGATAGCTCAGGCCCTAACCCAAGGCCTCAGACCTAAACGAGCTGAGCCCACCTTAGGCCACGATGGGCCAAAATTACACCACTAGCTCAGAGGTTCATATTTTGCCCAATTTATATTTGCCCTAGCCAGGCTGGGTCAAACTCTCGACATCGCACTTTTATCTCGCTCGCCCGTCGGCGTCTGAACAGCACCGGTATGAATCTCTTTCTCTCTCTCTCGATCTCAACCCTACTCTTTCGTTCCAAGGGTTCCAATCAACAGATTCAACACAGAGCCCTCAAACATCTATCTACGTAATGTATAGCTTGCCAATCATCGATCAGTTTGAAGATACGGATCTAGATTCGGCCTCAAATTCCAGGTTTCAGGTAATTCTCAAAAACTCGCCTCTTTTTACTTCAGAACAATTCTTGATAAATTAAGATCTACGGATCTGAGTGAAGAAGCTCTGCAATTATGCTAATTTATGCAGCTTATTGAAATCATAGGTACTTTAATAAATTAAATAAATAAATAAAAACGGAGCTACATTGAAATTCCCTGCTATTTGTACGCGTTGGACGATTTGTACGCGTTGGACTTCGATGGGATTCTCTGCGATAGCTGTGGAGAGAGCTCTCTCTCCACCGTTAAGGTTCCTCTCATTTCTCTCTGTGCCTATACATACATATATATGTGTGTATGATTTGATGCCTTTGAATTGTTGTTGATGTTTATCATTCGAATTCAATAATGATTCGTATAAGCTGCTAAGTTGAGATGGCCTAGTCTATTTGAAGGTGTGGATTCATCAATGGAGGACTGGATTGTTGACCAAATGAACGCTGCAAGCTCTTTCAATTTCATTTTGTTTTTTACTTTTTTTGTGACATTTTCTGCTACTAGTTGAGTTTTTTTTGAATTCAGAAAACTAGGGGAAAAGATTCGGAAGGAGCGAAGTGAATTGTTGTAAGTAGTGTTTGGTTGCCAATAAAGTGATGGAAAGTTTGTTGGAGAACATCGATATTGGTATAAGAAATTGGGTTAAAAGGAAAGGAAATGAAAACATATAAGAAATAATTTTCCATTACCTGTTTGGTTTGCAAGAAAATTCGTAAAAAATTAAATTGAGAAAATATCATTTTGCCCCAAACTATTACTCGAAAATTAATTAAATTCATGTTCTTTTAATAATATCAATTTTATCCGTAAGTTATTTGATTTTGCATCAATCTTAGCCCCACCATCAAACATAAGTTGCTGATGTGGCACCCAAGCTTCATTTGAAATTTCATATCACCTCCAAACTATCCTCAAAATATCAATTAGACCTCTAAATAAAATAAAATTTGGAAGTCTAATTGATATCTTAGAGATAGTTTGGGAGATAAAATGAATTTCAAACGAAATTTCATTGTCATGTTAGTAACTTATGATGAAGCTACACAAGAAGTGAGCTCTTAGATACGGCTTTACGGCTTTTCATCAATTCCCAATGGGGTGTGTGTGAAACTAGAAGGGGGGAGGTTTTTCAGTTGATTTGAAACTAGTTGAAGATTCTCGCATTTTATCATTGACTCATATTTTCTTAGTGTTAGTACAGGTATATAAGTATTGGTGATTGCTGTGGCATCATCTCAATTGGCTAACATTTGAACCAAGTTGGATTTTGAGTGATTATTGTTCATGCAATTGATGGGTTCTGTTTAGCTTTGTTTTTTTTTTTTAAATTGGTCTGAATTTTTAAGCAACTTTTTTTTGTTTCCATATACACACCCATCTTATATTACTTCCTCTATACACATGTATACATATCTATTGTTCATAGAAGTTGATTGGTCACTCAAAATTGTGGCTCCTTAATAATTGGACATTTGAATCGGTTAAGTCAGCACCAAAGGCGGAACAAGCAAAACCCAACAAAGTTTTTTACATTACAAATTAAAGGCCTATAGATTGATTATAAATTTTTATTACCAGGATGATCAAAGTTATGTTCATGCACTTCCGTTGTGCTTCTTCAGTTGTCCAAGCCACGATAAAATGAATCCTACATATAAAGCCACACCAATATAATATAGGAAATTGAAGTAGAAAATTTTGCTTTCATAAAGAGTGAGCAATCCAAAGCCAATCAACCCAGGTGTGTCTATCAAAATTCCACACCATACAACTGCTAGATATCACTCACACTTACGATCATGGCCATAAATACAGAAGGCCGTAGTAAAGCACTCAATAAAGTGAGCTGGGTTTTTACTGGATCAAATATCATTCAATGAAATAATTAAACTAAAAGAAGAAATTGCAAGAAAAAATAATAAATTTAGAAAAGAAACCAAGAGAAATAAAGTGTGCAGAGACATAACAATTTGGTCAAAAATGATCAAAAGTTCATTACATTCACCACTGCAGTAGTAGATTACACTAAGCATCAAGATTTTGAGTAGAAATTATGTAATAAAATTTAATGTAATAAACTTGATTCAATTAATGTAATAAACCTGGATTCA